TGGCCGCCCTTTGCACATTTATCTGTGTGTCACATGTATGAACAACACTTCTGGTGTAACAATTGTGCAATAAAAAAGAATTCATCTATCCACCTTCTACTTCTTCCGAGCCTTTTGCCGAAACTAGGTTAAGTTCGGCTTTAAGTCTACTTACGGCGGAAAAAAGTTTTTTTACGCGGAGCAACTGCCATCAGACCTGGACAACACAAGTAGGCCATATCGAAGTTCTGTAAAAAAAACTGCTGTCGAACTTTTTAGGGCTCCAACGATTGCCACAGATAACAGGGCAAGGGGGGAAGGGAGTTAATGGAACCTCTTGTAGTTAAATCACTACTCATTCACACAGCAGTTACTTTATGATTATACCTACTTCTAAAATTATTCCGTATTACGTAAAATATTAGGTAATATAAACTACACTATCACTATAACGGACATTGAAATATATAAGTATGTGTTTATCAGCAGTCTGATTACTATGTACAATGGTACAAGCACTCCCCAGATCTGTATCAGACGGTTGTGTGTGAGGTGTCAACTTATAATGTTACCACCTGCTAATATATCGTATTTATTAAATAACTGACCCTGCAAACGTTGTTTTGCTATTTACATTATTTAAATATATTTTTTTTGTTTGAATTTCTTAAAATCCTTTGACCTCTACTCGGTGAAAAGAATATTCCTACCAAATTTCAAGTCTTTATCTCTAATGGTTCCAAAGATATCGTGATGAGTGACTATATACGTGGAAATCTCTTATATATATATATAAATTTATTGTAAACTTTACCTGGATTTATTGTTATTTTTGTGTTACCTTTTTCAGTTCTTAGTAGCGATGACAACTTGCCACTAAATGATAATAATATATATCTTTATTGCACACGGCAGATAATATAAACTTGTTGAGTAAGATAAACTAGTATTTTCTATACATATGAAATTACTTGCCCTGACTGATTCATCAACGCAGACCCTTTTTTTTTTTTTTTTCTTGCGGAAATCCCCTCGGATACCACCGCGACTAAAACCGCACGCCGTCTCGGGTACTAATAGCCGGGGAACCAGGTATACCCTAGAAAGGAAGTCCCTGGTGGACCATTTCCGACCTCCGAGTCGCCGGATTACAAGAGACGCCACGCTCCCGGTCATCAACTCAGACCCTAAACCGCTCAGGCTACAAATTCACATTTTGGCAGCTGATGCTTTGTATGTTGTAAACAACCACTAAGAAAGGATTTTTGGAAATTTTACCTCTAAGAGGGTAAAATAAGTTATGAAGAATTGTATCGCAGTCCGTCATTTTCAAAGTTAGAAACACAAAATATTAAATACTTTAATAGCTAGTTTGGCTTATAAAATTCGGCCTACAAGCCACCATGGGTTGCAAACACATTTTAAAATTATATTAGGGTAGTTCATTCAGTACATTATTAAAGATAATAAATGAAATATTAGAAAAACTATAAGAGTGTACATACATACTCGTATACACAATTAACAGACAAATACACATTTGTAGAACATAACATAATACAGAACATACAGAAACATAAGTAATACATCAATGAACAAACGTATGATATGGTGTCACCTTGACTTACCTAATATTACATAATAATATAGAATACTAGCTTTTGCTTTGACTTTTTCCGCGTGGTGGTCGAGTTTGATAACGCTATAGTTAAACCGCTGTAAGCTTGGCCCTCCTGATGGTTTGCGGGACGCGGGGCGGGTGATGCGCTCGGCTATACATGACACAATGTACTAACTCGATATCTTCAGATTTATTTGTTTGAGATTTAATCTACACACGATGTAATAAAGATCGAATTTATTTCCATGTATTATAATGTCAGTGTATTGTAAGTTTTATGATTAATTGTAAAATTTAATACTGTAAAATAATTTTAATAAAATCACCTTATCTTCATCATGTAAATTATATTCAGATACAATTTAAAAATTAAGTAAAATAATAAATATTCTTTATTAGAACTTTAACAGTAGAACCTCTGTAAGCCGAACTTCAAGTTTTTAAATCTTTTTGTGACGCAGAGTCGGCAGATTATCCATGTTGCAAAATAATACCGTCTGTAGCAGTCTTAAGAAAAATATCAGGTACAGCCCTGCTTTCACATCAGTCACTGCTGGCGGACAGCGACGCACTAGCTAATTGGTTGAATGCACCCCCGCCCCGCGTCCCCCAAACCATCAGGAGGGCCAAGCTTACGGCGGTTTAACTTACAATACCAAATAATTTCATATAAATTTCCAACCCCCATTTTGCATCCTTAGGGGTTTCATTTTAAAAAAATCTTTATTAGTGCACATCTACGTCACCTAAGGAACATTTGTGCAAAATTTCATGCTTCTAAACCTAACGGTTTCAGATGTGCGTTGATCGATCATTCAGTGAATTAATCTGTCAGTTTCTTCTTTTATAGATACAAAGATTATGAAGTATCTACAAGATAAAGTAATTTATTTAAAGCGTGCAGCGATTGTGCGCTACCTATTGTCACTAGTACAGCATTCCACAATGGAACCGCTTTAAGAAAGAAATAATTGTCATCGAACTTGGTGGAATGTCCTAGCATTAAGAGTGTCTCAGAAGATTTCGAAGATGTAGAATGCGTATCATATGTAACAGTCGGAGTTACTCAGTCACCAAGCTAGTTGTTTGGTAACTGGTAGCGAACGTTTAAACGAATTTCATTTGCTTCTATATGCTAGCTAGGCCCATTGAGGCAAATTTGGCCCATTTTTTTTTGTCTTAGAGAAATAATTACAAAATACACGGAGAAAAGAAGTCTCGAAAATTTGACAAACAATTATATTTTAATACTATACAGTGTAGCGAATACTGCAATATCCGTATTTGAAAAATTACTAACTTTCACGTTAATATTATACCTTTGTGAATTTGGATTTAGTACTTATTACAATTTAAATTAGTAATTTTGACTAATTTTATTATTAATTATCACTCAGTGCGGCATGAGGCCATGGAATGCGCCCGGACCCAATTTGTCGCCCACGTGAGCAAAATTTTTCGAGATTCGGTTTAGTTGTCAAGTCGTAGAAGCGTAAAAAACGAACAAACAAACATATGTATTTGAAATATCAGTTAGGAGACCTTGAATGGCTTGAAAACGCGGAAATAGCTAGTTTTTATAACAAGTAAATAATGATTACTACACAGTTTATGGCTGTTTTCATGCAATTATACCGTCTTTTTTGCTTTGGTTAATGACTTTACATCTTGTCTAATGTTCTCTTGTAACTAAGATTTAAACAGGCATCAGAAAAAAATTGTATTTTAACCAATAAAAATGAGAGGTTTTCGAGATAGTTCATTCATTGAATCTTATGGGATTATTTCTTTGAAAGGATTAACTTTAGATTGCCGCCTCAAATGCGTTAATTTCAAAGATCAACGTAGTCATGTGCTATTTTACACTATTATCTATTAATGTTTCAAAATTAATCCGAATCTGTACAGGCGTTCTGGTGTGGTTGAGGAACAAACTGATGTCTATCACAAAGTGTAACGACTCCCACATACGAAGAAACAGAAACATACTACAGCGCCATCTAACGAAGACACATCGAACTACGGAGTAATTACTGAATGAGAATTGCTAATCATCTATCGCGATATGAAGAGTTTTCTCGTCGATAAGCATTTAAACAACTTCCCAGCATCAACTGTTAGGCCGCGGCCCGCCAGGCATGATCACCTCGCCTGGTCGGAGGATCCTCCCTTTGTGTTGCAGGGACATGACACCCATCCGTCCACAGTCCACACACAAAACATTAGAAATTAGTCTTAAATTCAGAAAGAAACTAGTCAGTTTTACAGAAGTCGCATTAAATGGCATATGTTATATAACGTTTGAAATCTCAACTACCATCCGAGGAACAACTAAATTCAAACAGCTCGTGCAACATCAATCTCCTGTTTTAAAAAAATTCTTTCGTAAATTACTTTTAATGGTTGAGGAAAGCGAAAAGAAAAATATTACATATCAAACCAAAACCCAAATAATATAATAGAGCAATAGGTGATAAATCGTTATTCGCCTAACGTATTCCTTGTAAATCGATTTCGTAGAAATTTAGCAAACGTATCTTACGAGTATTCTAGTGACTACACTACAAAATAGACACCCATAGCTGATCTGATATAGGAGAAGGGAGCCGCTTAGGGAACTCTTCCTCGCTGCTTTACAGCAGCTGTTTCGTGTTTGGGCTTATTTTTTTTTCATCAAAATGATAAAGTCAGTAGTGACGAAAAAAGAATACAGGGTGTCATCACCCCTATTCATTTCATGGGTGACGTAAGAGCCGACTAAGGGATAATAGCACTATAAAAGGAAAACTATAGAATAGAAACCCGCCTGACCAGCGTGTTACAATAGGCCAAACCTCCTTTCTATGGAGAGGCCTATGTCCAGCAGTGGACTAGTAAACACTGTTAATGAGTGATAATTTTAAACCATTTAAAAATTGTAATAAAAAATACCGGGATAACGTAGTAGGTAATAGATAGCTACGATTTACGTGATCACCAGGATCCATTAGTTGTGTTCACAGACTGACTGACACCGTCTGAATTTGTGAGGCGAAAGTGTTGCATAGAGCAACACACTATCGACCTTTTTTATTCTTACCTTTTGCTATGTACCATCACATACCATGTTAACAGTGTCCCTATTAAAGGGTTTCTCCGACTTTTTCTTTTGATTTTAACTTGTCACACTTTTAGCCTTGCGATGAGGTCAACAAATAACAGATAGTAATATAGAAAAATAATATATAATAGTAAGAAACACAATGACCACGAAGCACGTTTGGTGGATCCAATGTCTTTACCCGATTCGGTTAGATCGCGAACTGATTGCTGAATGAATGAATGATAAATTTGCTAACGCAGCTGCCAATTCAAGGCACCGTACAATCTCTTAATTTTAACTTGTTTTGTTACAGACACAATGAAACTCTCGATACTCCTACTGCTAGGAGTTCTCTCCAGCACTTACGGTTACCACATCCTCGTCTCTTTCATCATACCTTCGCACAGCCACAATCAGCTCGGAAAGGGAATCGTGGACGCTCTGCTCAAAGCTGGACACACGGTATGTAATAGAGCATCTAGATTTATGTATTTTGTTGTGTAGTTTAAGATCAGAGGAGAGTTTATTTCACATCAACTGGATCATCAAGGTGACCACAACGCTAAACGCGGCCACCGTCGAGAGCGAGTGAGAAGGCCGTATCTGACATGTATCACGTTATTATTTATTCAATTTTCTTGTACTTTAAGGTTTCGTGGATCACGCCTTTTCCAGACAAAGTTGGAAAGAATCCTCCGAAGAATTTAAATATCATTGATGTCAGTCACGTTCAGGAACTAGCAAATGGTATATTTATTTATTTATTTAAAGGAAAATCAACAGCTTTAATATCGAAATAGTAACAGAAATATATAACATTTAGCCAATTGAAGGTCTTCACAGGAAAGCACTATTTAACACAATTTATATAACGCTATAATTTATATAAGTGAAATTTCATAATTTATTATCTTAGTGGATGCTGACAAAATAAAAAACATCAGCTGTTTAAATTTCGAGTTTGTAGGAGACTACAAACTTGAAATTTTGGTAGCTAGTGCTTAATCCGTGTAGTGACGGATTAAAAAAACGGAATGTCACTACCCTAATTCATCCCGCGGAAGAGCCGACTAAGGGCGTAAAACAACGCAAGACACCATCACTGCAAAAAGAAGGAAAACTTGACACAAACCCTATACCAACCCGTCTGGCCAGCGTGGTATAGTAGGCCAAAACCTCCTTTCTAAGGAGAGGCCAATGTCCAGTAGTGGACTATTAACGGCTGATGATGATGATGATAATGTATAGTGTAGGCTTTACATTGATTAATCAATCAGCCAGAGCAAGTAATTTTTATACGTATAGATTGTTGAAGAAAAAGACAAAAAATAAATTAGCCGTTCCATGTACATCTACGAGCCACTTTAGCCTCAGTTCCATTGTCTGATCCGAAACTACCAGACTTCTGTCCTGTTAACGATTACATTGGCAACGGGAGTTCACATTAGGCAACTCCCTAGGAAAGATTTCGTCAAACAGCACAAGCCATAAAGATAACCAGAAAAAGTAAATTCAGCTTTAGTTATTATTTTATAAGTTTTAAAAAGAATCCGGGAATCGATGGTGATGTGTGACGCGTCAATCGACTTATATTAGGCAAAAATGGTTTGGATGATCATATTTAATTATAATTTTCAGTGGACATGACGGACAGCAAATTCGCCAACGCTGGTATTAGTTTTGTTAAAGAATTCGCTACAAATGTCACAATTGGGGTCTACACCAGCCAAAATGTGAAGGACGTAATTGTGAAGACGCAGTTTGATGCCGTTATAACGGAATTGTTCTTTTCTGATACCATTGCTGGGTAAGATCTGTAATTATTCTCTTAGAAATATTTCATAGAGGGCTTCGAGAGTTTGGAGATTCCTGGTTCGAGTAACATGATTTGCTCGAACTACATTCCTTAATCATAATGGACCCCCCCCCCCCCCCCCCCCCTCCAATTTTTCCAAAGAACTTGACTGCCGAAAATAGACTTGCTTGTCAAAGTATGGGTTTTTCATACGCCTCAGACCCCTCAAGGAGCACAGACATGAGAGTGTATGTGTGTGGTACATGTGTAAAATCTTTGCGTAGATGCCCGTTTAGTTGAGTATTAAATAATATATCCTTAGAAAAAGAAAAACTATTTAAGATTTAAAATTATTGTACACAATGTGTTTTACTTGTTGCTTTTTTTTTTTTTTTTTTTTTGTTGACGGGGTGGAAAATCCCTTCGGATCTCCGGCTCCTCGGGGACTCAAGAGCCAGGAGTATGTGGTGATTCCACTAAAAACCACCCCGACGGCCGGCCTTAGGTGTCCTACTCTGGGGAGGACCCGGACCATGTTATTTCAGGTCCTCCCCGAATTGACACCATGCCTAATCAGGCCCTATCCCAGGGGAAAATCACTTCCCCCTTCAATCACGGCATGGCAGCCCGATCGCATCTTAATGCAATCAGGCCGGCCATTCCATTCCCTACCGCAGCAATCAATCTGCCACCAGAGGTCCCCACTCTCTGGCGGCCCGCGGCCCCGTCGATGGCTGATATCGCCGCCGACGTCTTCTTCGTTCGGGATCGGCCCTCTCCCGATCCCGTTCAGCGGTCTCTTTCTGGAGCATTACAGCTTCACAGAAAGAGACCACTGCGCCCCAGCCCTCCTCACCCGCCAGCATGGCAGCAATGATTGCTGGCGGGGATTTACTTGTTGCTTACAAATCATCTACAGATTTTTTTTGGAAGTCAAAATGATCAAGACGGATTTTAATCAAGTAATTTTTTTGCGAATATCCAGCAATATAATGATGTTCAACCAGATCAGATAAAACGGACATTAGATACGAAAGGAGATTATGACCAATATAAAAAAACATATTACTAAATAGATAATTTTCAATATTGTTTCTTCCAGCCTGGCAGCAGTCCTAAAAGTACCCTGGATTCTCATGAGTGCCATACAATTAATGCCTGGAGTAGAATCCCAGGTAGATGAAATACGATCTCCAAACACCATACCACTCGCCATCCATGAGGCCAGTATACCCATGACTCTTAAGGAAAGAGTCGTCAATCTTGGAATTTCTGCTGCCATGACTGTTAGTAACTGGTAAGCATACAATAAAATCATGTAGAGAAACAGGGCTTTAAATTCATCCGGTGCAAAGAAAATCTGGACCAGGGTAGGTTATCATGACTAGGTTATGTCAAGCACTTTAAACCGACTTCAATAAAGCAAGATTCTCATTTTGGTTGCATTTTTGGAAGTAATTTCGATTTTTTTGTATTTGGAAAGACTTTGGTCCCATTTAAACCTGAAGAATTAATGCCACTGTAGCACTGTAGGGTCTCCTTGTTATAAATGGTTTAATACCAAAAGTAAAGCATGAAGGAACTTAGTTGTCGTAATGATATTTCGCTGCACATTTTTCTTCTATTTGTACATTGCTATTTACTTTTAAAATAAAATAAAAAACTACCCGCATGATATAAGCCGACATTCTCGTCTCTTATAGGGTAGGTTTAAAATATATTTATTTAGCCTGAACAATTAAATGCAACATCTTATAGTACAGCTTGAATTGTGCTCCAATATCAGGTTAATGTTTTAATTGTTTTTATATCTCCAAATCAACGTTAAATTTTATATAAATGATTTGACAATTGGTAGGTCTGACTTCACGTTATAGTATTTAATACTAAAATGGACCGCTTGGTGTTTAATACAAAGACACTGATTTGACATTGACGCCCGTGCATTTGTTTTACAATATATATCATATGATCAACTATTAAATACTCACATTTTACAAAGATGGCAAATGACTATAATTTCTGTTTCAGGATAAGCTGGTCAGACACCGAAGCGCTTTACCAACGCCTGTTTGCCCCCCTAGCAGCAGCACGAAATGTCGAACTACCCCCGTTCGCAGATGCTTTCTATAACGTCTCTATTTTATTCCTCAACGCGCATGAATCTCTATTTCCAGCCTTCAGCGTTCCACCCAATGTGATCGGTATTGCTGGTTTTCATATTGAGGAAAATCCTCCACCATTGCCGAAGGTAAGATTTCTTACAACTGCTGAGATGAATTTTGTGTCCAGGTCCATAGGGTCATACAATGTGTCAAATTTTCCTCCCCATTACTTGGATACTTGGCACTCAACTAATGTGCCCTTCCAAGAAAACTTTTTGCGTCACACAACCAATTTGTGGATGCCTGCTGGACGTTCAGATCGATGCGATCTTTTTGCTCACTATCACCTCAAAGGCTGGCATTGCGTTCGTTACTCTTGAATAGCAGGTGTGGATCAACGACGACAGTTCACTTAACTTCACTTACCTTGCTTTGCCTTCTATGTCATAAAATAAATGAGTAAGGCATGCAGTACATGTGTTCGTGTGATGGCAGTTTAAGAATATGGAGTGTGACCACCCCTATTCATCTCACGGGTGTCGTAAGAGCCTACTATGGGAGCAAACTACGGAGGATAACAGCACTGCCAATAGAAGGAAAACTTGAAACAAATCTTATACCAACCCGTCTGGCCAGCGTAGTAAAGTAGGCCAAAACCTCCTTTCTAAGGAGAGGCCTATGTCCAGCAGTATTTTACATACACATCATTAGATGTGTATGTAAAATACTATCACTGAAAGTTTCCCAATTGAAAAATTTAACTTTAAGTGAGATGTTGAATTTAAATTTAAATTTCCTACTTTCTAAGGATCTTCAAGATCTCCTTGATAAGTCCAAACAAGGCGTGATCTACTTCAGCCTGGGATCGGTTGTTCGCTCAGCGGCTTTACCACCTCATACGAGGAAAGCCATACTTGCTAAATTTGCTGCATTGCCGTACACTGTGCTCTGGAAATTCGAGGAAGAGATTAAGGATCTACCCCCAAATGTTTATGTTAGAAAATGGATGCCTCAGCCTAGTATACTTGGTAAGAGAAATGAAAAGACATAAAGCCTTTGACTGTTTTCGTTTCTTTTCTACAAATTACATTAATAGCATAAACCAATTGAAGTGATTGACTAAATTATTTATTTCTTAACGTGAGTACTAATTTTCAAGATTCCACATTCTAAATAGTAATTAATTAAATCTCTGCCTTAATCAGACTATAAAAATCCCAACAAAATATAGTAAAATTACTTATTTTGCTTATATAAATCATTTAGTATATCTCTAAATAAAATACAAGGCTACTTTAGTAAAAACAATCAACTCCATATTAGGGAGTGCCACAAGGTTCTTTCCTTGGACCGTGATAACGATTGGTTTCAATAAATTTTCCACATAATATTTACGATTACAGTTCATCCAAATGTAAAAGTCTTCATAACTCATGGAGGTCAACTTAGCTGTTTAGAAGCAATATGGTCTGGTGTACCTTTGCTAGCAATCCCGGTCTTCGGTGATCAGCCCTTCAATGCTGAGCGTGCTAAGCAATCTGGCTTTGCCCAGAGGGTCACTTTCGGCCCTGACATGGCTGATGAACTTGATGAAAAGTTGAGGGAAATACTTAATAATCCCGCGTAAGTATCTACAGAATTAATCTGTTAACAAGCAATAGATATTACTTACTTAGTGTATTTGTTTGTCACTTTTGGGCATATGACCTGCAGATGATTTTAGATGGTATGTATGTAACGGAATCTTTGAACGCGATTTTTCCCCCGAAACGTCGAATTAAATCGAAACTTTGCACACTTATCCCCACATGGGACGACACTTTGTGTGATCCACAAATTGTTGTTCTGAGTCTGGGTGTTCTCTGTGTCCATTTCATGTATGTTTGTAAAGTCCCCCGCGACACAGGATAAATTCCTAATGCCGGAGTTGTCTTTTTATACAAAAAAAAAACTTATCAATGACAAAGCAATAATTGAAATAGTTTGTCCCATTATCCTGATCAGGACTTTCAGAATTAACGGCTTTTTCCATACCTAAAAATAAGGTAGTGTCTTTTGCCAGGAACTAAGGCGTGTGCTGAAGCATATGTGATAAACTTGCTTGTTACTTTTGTAGTCTTAATAAGATAATAATCATCATTAATGACTAAAGAAAAAAAAAAATTTTGCAAAAAAACTAAAACAACACGCTTTTGTAGCAAGCCGAACTAAAAAGTAGAAACAAATTTTTTATAAGTTCAAAAAGAAAAATCATTTTATTGTAAAAAAGAGTTCTTTTTAGTTTTTTTTAACTAGAATAAAATTTACTCAGCGAGCGAACGGTGAAGCTTAGCTGACAAGTAACTAAAACTAATTTATAATGCTTAACTCCTAACAAGTGGAGGAAGAGGAGTTAAGCATCCACTAACCACACTCACTCGGCGGAAGATAAAAAAGAATTACTTTTATATGGTATGGTCCCCTAAGAGTCCACCAGTAAATGAATCGCCGTTTCTTCTGGGTAATGCCACGTTGCCAGTATTATCACGTTGTGCATGACATGTGACACACACATTTAAAACCTTAGGTTAGGGTTGCCACTTGTATTTTTTATTTATATTGTATGTTTTTTTATATATTAATTAGTGTTGTATATTTTGTTTTAAGGAGTGTTTTATATCCGAAAAAAAAACGTATGTAAAAGCTGTCGTGTGGTTTAGAAATGCTTATTCTGCACATTGAGCTATTTGCGGCAGAAACGTGTTTCTTAAATGTTTAAATTCATATGAACGATCAATGTAATCAAACAACTCTTAATCAGTGTTGTAAAATTTTGCCCCTACACCGATAGATGGCGTTGTAGCATTAATTTAGATCGCACTATGGTTTGATTTCAGTGAGATGTTTATATTGTTCTTTGAGTATAGCTTAATCGGTCGCATTTTTTGAACCACGGCGGTGGTAAATAGCCATAGCCAGTGATAGCCGTGCTTTACACAAAATACATCTAACACCATTCATCCCTTTACAGCTATACAGAAAGAGTGAAGTTTCTCTCCATGCTGTTCCGTGACCGTCCAGTGCCGCCCTCCAAGCTGGTCAGTTACTACACGGAGCTCGCCATTAAAAGCAAAGGTAACGTACCAGATAACATTTTATCGGTTACTGGATTCCAAATCTCTCATTCCCCTGATTCTGGAGTGACTCAAAAAGTTGCAACGCTCTTATGAGTTGCAGATGACCATGAGCGATGGTAGACCCTTACCATCAGGTGATTCGTCTGCTCGTTGACCCCTATGCCATACAAAAATGAACCTGCCTAAAAACCAGTGTAAATATTTTTTGTCTGTCGGTCTGTCTGTCTGTTTGTGCCGGGTAATCTCGCGTTACAAACAAACTCACTTTCACTATTGAATTGAGGTATGGAAGTATGAAAATATGGATGTCCTGTTGGTCCATTGATTAGTGATTCTGACTGCTTAGAGAGAGGTTGTGGGTTCGATTCCCACTTAGGAATAATCGGGTGATGAGCACGATCGTTTGTTCTGTGTCTGGGTGTAATTTATCTGCAGTCTGGTTACTAGTTTAGGGTCAGACGGCCGTGTCTGAGATGTGTTAAGTCCTTATTATCCAGTGAGTTTTGCTGTAATGGTTCTATTACTTCCAGGCGCGTACCATCTCCGATCTCCATCTCTTCAATACTCCTGGGTACAACGGTCGATGTTTGATGTTCTACTACTTGCCGTAGTAGTGCTCGCCATCATCTTCACACTCCTGAGGCTGGCCGTCAGGACATGTTTCAGAATAATCTGTGGAAAGAGTAGTACCACGCCTAATTTAAAGAAGAAGACGAATTAGAATTAAAAATGTATTAAGATATTACATTTAACATAAAAAGTATTTTTTTTAAATGTAGTTGTCAGCCATGTTTTATTTCAAATCGATACTTTGGAACTGAATCGATAGATATACAAAAAAAAATTAAGCATTTGTTGATTCCAATGTATTGTGTGAGGTTGATTTGAATACACGATACAATTAAATGAAATATTGCTATTAAAACATTGAGATTGTCTTAACAAAATAAAGCGCCGGTAGCCTAGTGGTTAAGGCATAAGACAGGTCATGGGTTTGAATCCTGACCAGTACACTACCGACGTGAACCCACTCCTAACACAAGCAATTCAACTTAGCAGGAATGGTTAACTTAAATATTAGTAATTTCGGTTGCTAGTAAACCTTTTTAAATACATAAAAAAAATGTGTACCCAAGCAAAAAATGGACAATTTTATGAGTCACTGGACAGACCTCTACCTGCAGAAAGAAGGATATTATGAGTTTAAATTGTGTATCTGTGTGTATGTGGTATAGTAGACCAAAACCTTCTTTCTAAGGAGAGGCCTATGTCCAGCAGTGGACTATTAAAGGCTGTTGATGTGATGTGATGATGATGTCTGTCATTTAGATTGTTTCTTGCATTTGAAATGTGAGACAAATCTCAAGTCACAAATTACAACTAAATGCTGTCCCCATCAATGGGACTGCATTTAATACTTTCGCATCTTTAAAGTTTCCCTGGACTTAAACAAATATTTCAAATCCAAAATTAGGCAAATAGGTCCAGCCATTCTTGAGTTTTAGTGAGACTAATGAACAGCAATTTATTTTAATATATTTGATGAATAAAATATAAATTGATTACAATCAAGATACAATAATGTTGTTTTATTAATCATCAACCCCGAAACCCAGTGACAGCATGTGTCAGTTACTAACAAGCGAACTTGACCTTGAGAAAGAAAGAAAGACTGCCTTATTCTAAGCTCATATAAACAATATTTGTTAAAATATTGTTTATATAAGTAATATCGTGGACGAATAGCTGCTATGTGGATGTTATCCGTAATCTATATCTTCTATACAAATAAATAAAATTGGAGTGTCTGTTTGTAATATTAAAATAACCGTTTTTTACTAAATGCATATGTATGTTTACACGGTACATATGCCAAAATAACATTTTTTACAATTTTTGTCTGTCTGTTTGTTACGGGTAATCCCTGGAACGGCTGGACCGATTTCGACGGGACTTCCACTGGCAGATAGCTGATGACATAATGAGTATCTTAGGCTACTTTTTTTAGACTAGCTTTGCCCCGCGGCGTTGCCCGCGGTTATAACAACAAACGCGGGTAACACCGCGGGTCTCAGCTAGTAACAAATAAATGTCTTTCTCTTTCTTAATTTTTCCCATCTTATAATTTCAAAAGTGCCTACTTGACGGCAATAGACCTCCTATTTAGCAATTGGTAGAGTAAACGAGTCCTTGAATGGAGACCGCGTCGAGGCAATCGTAGTGTAGTTCGCCCACAGGCCAGGTAGAGTAAAGATCTGCGCTAGATTGCTGGCAGGAGCAGAATCAACATCAACAGCGTTTAAGAGCACTTTTGGTCTGCTCCTTAGAACGTACGTTTTGCCTACTATACCGCGCTGGCCAGACGGGTTGGGATAGGGTTTGGGGTGCTGGGCTAGAAAACCTCCTCGTGGTGCACCCTGGAAACGCTGGCGATGGTACTGTTTCCTCCTTGTCCTCTTGGAGGAGAGGATTATCGCCAGCGGCCAATATTCTAGCAGAAGAGGCAGCCGTTCATCGGCTCTCGGGCAAGGCCTGGTCCAGCAGGGTGGGCGTGTCTGCCGGTTGCCCTGCTGGCTCTTCGCTCTTCGGAGCATGGAGGAGGAAACCTCGGTAAAAAACCTGATGGCGGGGCCCTGTAGGGGCCACAGTTTCTCCGCTGATAGCGGTGGAGAAAGGAGGACGGGCTCGGCGTGTACTCACACTACCACCGAGCAGGCAGGGGGACGTAGTCTCCCTGTCAACCGTCGGCATATCGTAATCCCGAGAAGAGCGCTGTGGTTAAGTCTCGCGGCTCTGATCGGGGGCGAGGGTCTTGGCTTAACCGCCCGGACCGCGAGGAAGATAACCTCTCTAAAAAATTCCCCGAATCCCGTGTTCTGGTGCGTGGCCAGGGGATGCATGGCTGATGGGAAGTTCAGTCGCGAGCGCACTCCAAGCCGAGGTACCTGCGGACCCCTCGGTTGGGTTAAAAACTTACGCTTGCCCGGGTAATGGGGGATCTCTGCCCGGGTGGACCTTTAGTTCTCCCCCACTCGTGGGATTTATCATGGAACACATAAAGTCTAACCAAAACAAAAAACGAACGGAAACAAATATACAAAGAAAACAGGCAAGCAAAACGGACTCTGAAACGAAGGGTGCAAAAGTGAAGAGGAATAGTGGAGCGGATGGGTCGTCCACTGAGGGCGAGATGGTGTCGGGAACGCCTATCTCGATGGGGCTCCCAGAGGTCAGTCTGACTCTGGTCACTGGGAGCCGAAGAGCATCGGATCGGCTGCGTTCCGGATCCGCCGCTTCATCGGATGGCGCGGAGGCCATGGAAGCGGAGCGGAGCGACAGCCGGAAACGCGGACGCTCAGGAGACGTGGAAACCGACACGTCCGGCGAAATGATGCCACCAAAGGTGGCAAGCAGCCGCCGAGGGAGGGCGCGCAAACCGGCCTCGGTCGCGATCCCGTCAGGCTCCGCGTTCTCCAACGCGGAGTCGTACAGGAACGTACGGGTGGACGGCGAGGCCGTAGCGGAGGAGGAGATCGCGGATCTCCTGCTCAAGGTTCGGGAGCCGGTGGGGGGAAATGCCCCCCAGGCTCCCGTGTCCGTGCAGGAGAGGGCGAAAGCGGCGGTGGCCGTCATCGAAAAGGTGGCCACCAAATCCGTGAACCTTAAGGGCTCGTTTGTGAGGGCCCTTAAGGACTCCTCCTCCGCTTTGTCGGAGGTCGTGGAGGGCCTAGCGGGCGACGTCTCTCGCCTGCAGGTGGCCAACGAGAAGCTGACGGAGCGGGTGAACGAGCTGAGCGCTCAGTTCGCCCGCTTCCAGGCGAACCTCCCCGAGCGGGAAGCCCCGTCCGCGTCCCAGCCTGCCCCTACCACCAACTCAGGGGCATTTGACTCCCAACTGCGAGAAATCCTCATCGCAGTTGGGAATATGCTGGACGGACGCCTGGCTGGCCTGGAGGCGAGACTGCCTCCTGCGCCGATTATGCGCCCCCCGCTCGCGTCGGCACAGCGGCCTAAGGCCGCCGCTCCGACCGCGCTCCCCGTAGTGGGAGGCCGCGTCTCCTACGCGGCGGCGGCGTCTGCCCCAACTCCATCGGCTCCCCAAAAGCCGAGGAGGGGGGCCAAGGCACCGGCCCAGGCGCCGGCCAAGGCACCGGCTAAGGCGCCGGCCAAGGCACATCCCCAGGCGCCGGCCAAGACGGGGCCTAAAACGGCGCCGAGGAGCGGAGTGGCATTCCCTCCGCTCCCCACTCCGACACCCCTGCCGGGCCCCTCCGCACCTGCCCCCTCCAACGAGGGTTGGCAGGAGGCGAGGGGCTCCAAGAAGTCCCGAAGGCGGGCCAAAAAGGCTGCCAAAAAAGCAGCCCAAGCCCAGCCTTCGCCACCGGTGGCAACGGCCTCCACAAAGAGGCCGCGGAAGCTGCAGCCGCCCAAAACCGCGGCGGTAGTGGTGACCGTGTCCCCGGAGGCGGCTGACGGCGGGCTGTCCTACGCGGCCGTGTTTAAAAAGGCCCGGGACAGCCTCGCCAACGACTTTGGGACGGCGGGGGTGAAGATGCGCCTCGCCCAAACGGGAGCTCGAGTTCTCGAGTTCCCAGGGGCTGAAGGCGCCAAGACGGCGGACACTTTCGCTGAGAGGCTGCGGGGTCTATTCGCGACCACAGATGGTGTCAAGATCGCCAGGCCTACCAAGTGCGCGGAGCTGCGCATCTCGGGCCTGGACGACTCTGTGACGGCCGAAGATGTCCGCGCTGTAATCCGGGAGAAGACGGGGTGCAGCGCGGACAACGTCAGGGTCGGCACCATCCGCCCCGGTCCAGGAGGGCTTGGCGCCGTGTGGGTCAGCTGTCCCGTAGCGTCGGCCAAAGTATTGGCCGACGCCGGCAGGCTGCTCGTCGGTTTCGTGAGCGCCAGGATCACAGTCCTGGCGGCGAGACCGATGAGATGTTACAAATGCCTAGCATCGGGGCACACGCGCGTCAAGTGCCAAAGCTGCTTCGACTGCAGCGGACTTTGTTTCCGCTGTGGTCGACCGGGGCATGTGGCGGTGGAATGCTCTGCCGCCCCTCACTGCCCGGTGTGTGCGGCGGGTAACAAGCCCGCCAATCACCAGATGGGGCAGGGGGGCTGCAAGCCTCCCCGCATCTCTCAGCAAGCATCGGGGGCTAGCCAGTCGACCCAGGCTGCCTCCGACGTAGTTCGTGTGTCGACGTCGTCGCCCATGGAGGAGGCTGTAGAGACGATCCAGTAATGGATCGGGTCTCCAGCCTCCTGGTCCAGACGAACCTGAACCACTGTGCCGCGGCGCAGGATCTCTTCCTGCAAACCATGGCACAGTGGTCGATAGGTGTTGCCGTAGTCGCGGAGCCCTATTCTGTCCCTCCCCGTCCAAACTGGGTGGGTGACTGGGACGGCTCCGTGGCAGTCGTCGGTTCCACGACGGCTCATTCCCCGCCCTTGTCGCTAAGAGACAAGGGCACTGGATATGTTGCCGTCGAGTGGGGGGGGATCACCATATATGGTGTCTATTTCTCCCCCAACCGGAGTTTGAACGACTTCGAGGTTTTCCTAACCAGCTTGGAGACCTCGATACGGCGACTAGCGTCTGGGCACGTCCTTGTGCTGGGGGACTTCAACGCAAAGTCCATTGCGTGGGGTTCCCCCAGGACGGACGCCAGGGGCGAGGCCGTAGAGGAGTGGGCGGCCTCGGTGGGCCTCTGTCTT